ATTCATGATTCTTTCTGTATCATTAAACAACAATCTGTTAGATAATTTGTTAAATCTGTAATAAATTATGTTTTGATACTTTTATACAGATGTTGTTGATCTCCAAAAGTAACTGTAATAGGCCCAGTTCACTTGATTTATATGAAAAATATAAGGTTATAATGTCATTGTACAATACTTTTACAAATAATTTTAATTATCATAAGAAAACATTTGTTATTTGAAGCATGGTCTTGTCTGTATTAAATTCTATACAAACTTTGGATTTTATAAATGCTACCACCTTTGAAGTATAAACAGTAAAAATTATTTAATTTTTTTCATGGTTGTTATACAGTTATTCAAAATTTTTTCTTTTATATTGTTAACTCTGTTTTTAGTTTAATCTCAGTGTTACCGCATTTGTTTTTGATAGTACCTAGGTACCAAAATAGAACTATGCTTGTGATTTATTCGGTCCACACACACTTTTGTTTTGACATGGTTATACACAGATAATTTGTGTTATCAACTAATTGTAAAGTTTAACAAAATATTCCAATAAGTTCAAAAGAGATTGTACCTGAATAATTGAATAATATATGTGATACACTAGTTGTAATGAATTTCATAACCTAGATTTCAAAACTTATTTTGTACTAAAACATGGATTTGCATAATAATGATAATAATAATCTAATGCTCAGTTTTGTTTCTCTTTTCTCTGACACAATTTACAAAACATTTTTGTGTCAAAGCATAGGAAATTTTTTTCTGCAGTTTAATATACCAATGAACTAACTTCATTGGTTATGTAGATATTGTTTATTTTTAAGAAGAATTCAAATTTTCTGTTTTACCAGAATCAAAAATCTATCTCATCAGGGTTGAAATGATTGTTATTTTTTAATAAGAATAAAAATGTTGATAGACATAAGATGAAATGCATTTTAACTACATAATATTAACTTGATAAGCTCTTCATAATACTTCTGGTGTCAAAAGGAGTTGATTATTTTCCTCAAATGTTTAAAAACAGAGTAACTTATATGTATTTGTCATGAAATGATTGATTTTATAATGAAGATATTTAGTGAGTTACTTTCATCATTTTTCAAGTATTCATTATTATTATTATTATTAAATTTTAAATTAGAAAAATGATCTTTTTATTTTTAAAAAAGTAATTTGGTAAGATTGGAATTTCATTGTTTAGGTTTTCTAACAATGTGTTCTAAATATTTTCTTTTTATTTCAGCCAAATATTCAAGACTTCATCACTCCTATCCAATTTCGACTGAGGTATCAACTAGCTGGTCGTTCAAAGAGACAGATTAATTTCTGTAATACATGTCCCATTTTGGATGTGACAGAACCTAACTTGGTCACAAAAGAAGTAAAAAGAATTAGATTGATTATCAAAATTTTTTTTCAATCATAATATTTTACTTTTAAATATAATGTTTATTTTTTCCATTCATGATTCTTTCTGTATCATTAAACAACAATCTGTTAGATAATTTGTTA